TATACACCTTTAGGTGCTTAAACTGCAGGTCCAAAAACTTTTGACTTCTTTAGTAAGTTCAATTTGATAGGTTTGAGTCATTTTATTTGGTTAATCATTACTTCGATCGATATGTTTCAATGAATTTATTTTAGTATATGATGAAGTGCATAAGGAGTTAAAATATCACAGTTGTGATGAAGTATGTTTCATTTTGTTTTGTTATAGCCTTCATATAATATCTTCTTCATAGAAGATATTTATTTACCTTGATTGACTTTGGTTGGCATGATGGTCTCTCAAAAAACAGACATTGTTATTCTTTTAAGGAGTCTCGTACACAACAGATGTGTACTTCTCACATGATAATATCAATTGAATTATATGCTCGATGCATATTAAGTCCTTTAAATATAATATTAATTGTAATGTCCTATGATATGGCTATAATAGCATTTCAAATTTCATGTATTGTCAGAATGACAAGATATGCACTTGTGATTATATTCACCACGATCTTTGTGAAATTTATTATGTTGAGAATCCTACATTATATTTACGACTTCATTTTTATCATTTATTTTTGGCATAAATATACACTTTTAGGTGCTTAAACTGCAAGTCCAAAAACTTTTGACTTCTTTAGTAAGTTCAATTTGATAGGTTTGAGTCATTTTATTTGGTTAATCATTACTTCGATCCATATGTTTCAATGAATTCATTTTAGTATATTCACTATTCATAATATAAAGCGGTACATTGTGTATATTAATATTGTCATTTTTTTTTTTCATTTCTTTTTCTTTTTCTATAATGACATAAATTCATGTGAGATCTTAGCTTTCCATATTTGAAGTACTTGAAACTCTTTTGGAGTTTTATAATTACTTATGCCTATATACTCTTCATGAGTATACGCCCCCTAATTAAGACCACATTTCTTATTTGATAATTTTTTCGAGAGTTTTTCTCTTTGGAATTGAATTTCACAACAATTCAAGAGTGTTTATATAATGCTAAAAAAATTTCATTCTAAGATATTACTACAAGATGAAGCATCTATAGCTAGTATATGAGATTTTATAAATCCCTTAAATGTGAGTAAATGCATCTTACAATGTAGTTATCTTTTCATATTGTCAAGTACAAGAATATAGATAGCACAATATTGATATTAATTATGTTATACATTTTTTAGGAGCAATAATAATACTTTTATATAAATTATGCTTCTCTAGAAGCATTAAACACATGTATCAAACTTAGACTTCTGTAAAGTTAATCTTCGAGATTAACACAATATTCTTCTAAAATATTAATTTGTATAAAATTTTGATTTCTTAAGGAATAATAAAATGATGTTATTCTTGATATAGTAGTTGAGTTGTGTCCATAAAGTTGTACTTCTACAGTAGTAACAACATAATATTCTTCGTATAATATTGATATAACATAAATTCATGTTTGTTTGGAGCATTCAAGTCATTAAATCAAAAAGATTTGCATATCTAGAAACTCTACAAATCTTGAACTATACTGGAAATAAATGTCATCTTCTAGAAACTCTACAAATCAAAAACTAAAAAAATCATTCTTCAAGAATATTAATAAGTATAGCATTATTCTTTTTCAGGATCAGCAATATATAAAATATATGTCATCTTCTTGAAGAGTAAAAAGACTTAGATTTGAAAGTTTTAGAGAACCTTGGATAGTTAACAAATCTCATATTATTCGAAGATGTAAATTTGAAAAAAATTGTAATAATTAAAAAATTATCTACTCTTCATGTAGCTCTTTCCTTAAAATGAACCATTGAATTTTGATCTAAACCATCGGATTTTAATAACAATGATTTGTAAACATTTTGTCCATATTTCATGATGATCAAACAACGAAGCATTGAGATATCAACGTTTTGATGAAAGCTGCACAAACTGTCCAAAATCTGCGATTTTCAGCATAGTAGATTTCAATTTTTTTTCTCTATTTTGGATGAAGTCGCGCTAATAACGTGCTATAAAATATAAAGAAAGAGAAGTATAAGAAGAGATATTAAGAGAGAAAAGTAGAGTGACAAAACACAAGTAAGTATTTTATTGAGAATATAATAAACTCTTCTAGAATAGATAAGAATTATCTAAATATTCTAATTAGATCAAATAGATATCAATATTTATCTTATAATTTTACAACCTAACTACCAACTTTAATATTACACATTTAGAAATATCAAAGGCTGAAATTTTTTTCATAATTCAAGATTTGTTTTATATGAAAATAGATAATGATTAATTTATATAAGATAAGGATGTGATCTTAATTGATGTTTATTAAAAGATAATTGACTTGTTTTGTCTCTCGTCATATTTTTTTCCCAAAAACCAGGCAGTTACTGTATACATTTTAATGTGTCTGAAAATAAGGAAAGAATAAACTGTACCTCATGAATTCATAAATTCCTCCACATGTTCTTCAATTACCACCAACATTCTACATGTTACAATAGAAAATCATTTGCCTTTTCTGTCGATAATAAGCAATCAGTGTACGATTGTGATAGAAGGGAGGCTTTTAGAAATTTTCTTCCGGTGTAACATGCAAAATCCATAATTATTTGTGACTATATTTATCTGATTATGTTCATGTGACATATGATATTATGGCTTAAATAGTGAAATATAGCAATTGTGACATCTGTATTTCACGTATAATAATGTGTAACGTAAAAATGAAATTCAACATCTCTGACTTCTGTAGTTCACACTGTGACCTCTGTGACGTTTATTTTTTTCCCTAAAATGTTTGTCTTATGTTGTCTGATGTGTGATCCGGGACTTTGTTTTCTACTAGCAGATTTTAAGACATTGATTATGGTGTTCTTGATCTCACACAATACAGAAGAAGGGAAGTTACATTTGTTTCTCTCTACATAAAAATATAAATATCAAGTTAATCCGATTTTGTGTAATTTGAATTTCAAAAAACAAAAATAAGATATACTTACCACAGTTAACACGATCAAAAATATATACAAAAAATATATTTAAATAAATTTTAATATAAAAATACATGTTTGTAAATGTAATATGTTATTGCCTAATATTTTTATAATGGAAACATAAAAGCATGATGTTTTTTAAAACAATTCAAGTTTGGGTCTTAAGAGGCCGAGGCTAGACGTGGGCTTGATTCAAGTAGTCGAATTGAGATAGCATTTTGTAAATACGTAATTATTTTGAATATCATATCTACTTTAAAAGATATTTTACTTTCTTCGATGCCATCAGCACCAGCATTTTTTTTACTTTCTTTGATGCCATCATCATAGTGATAGTGATAGTGATAGTGATATGTGTATGTATATTATTTTAGTTGTTGTAATATTAATGAGTTTTTGTTCGGACGCGATTTTAGAAGCTACATGTATCCATTTTTAACAATTCAAAATGTATTGAAAAGCTCACGTCACAATCTCGCTAAATATGTTTAATGCAAAAAATTTCGTTGCACAGTTATTTCAAAAATCTTATTTTTTGTTCCAATAAAAAAAAAAAAATCTTATTTTTTTGTTGAAATGAAGAAAAATATTATTTTTGCTCATAATTTTCATGTGAAGGCAATTTGGAAGATTGTGAAATACCAATAAACAAATGAAATTAAAAGTACCATGGATGGGGTTTGAGTTCCAGGAATGAGAAATTTGGATTTTGTGATCAAGATGAGACAGCTACAAGTCCCAAAGCATATAGTAGTTATAGTGGTAAAATTTATTCTACTAGCCCAGCGGCCCAAGTTATGAAATGAGGCCGCAACGGTCCATTTATTAAACACGTCATCTTTGGCCCATCTCGTTATGCCAATCGGTCCGAATTATGGTCTAAGACCCATGTGTTAATTTGAAACCCCCGATAATTCATTTTCAAGATAAACCACACTATGATTTGACCATATCAAGTAGGAGTTATCTATAAACAATTGAATCTCTTAACCAAATAAATCTAATCAGATTTAGTTGCAACCATCCACAAAATCTTGGAGAATCCTCGTCAATCCCATCTAAATGCTTATCTTCAATTACTCTACTCTGAAGTCGGAACTATTTCTTTTTACTTTCCATCTAGCACTCATACAATTCTCGACAAGCTTTACTAGCTTGACAGTCAGAGGGTCTTGCCTGTACCATACCGTGCCCACTTAAGATCTTTAATGGTCCTTCTTTCTTGTTCAATTTTTCTTAAGTTCACAGATTACTAGTGGCCCGATCGATCCGATTTTCTCTATTGTCAAATTTACCGTCTATAATTTGACACCCATCGTAAGGCCTAGCAAGCATTCTTATGAGTAGAGCTCTCAGTACTATTATTCATCTATCACCACTATCACCATGCCTGGAACCTTTGAATCCATTACATGGATGCCTCTGCTGATTAGGAGACAAGGAGACGACTCAAGCCATACCACCGTTCTGCCAACTACTGCCCCATTGTCCTGTCCCGTCCGTCCAATGACCATTCAGCCAACAACTATCCAGTTGGCCCACCAGGTCCAGCCAGTCCAACCGACCGCTGTTCAAGAAAGTATCGTACATCCTGTCTCCACATACTCTAACCTACCGCACTGTCTAGCAAAGTAACTACACAGCTAGCCTAACTCTTCGAGTTGACAAAGTAGAATTCATAAAAATTGGAGAGGCTAGAAGTAGAGAATGATGCCATCTGTGTGGAGAATCAAGAACTCCAAGAAAGAGTGGAATCATTGGCGTCCAATTCGACTTTAGCATGTCCATCCCATTCCCAAACTCCATTTAGGCATGTGCCTTTACTAAATCAAAATGGACTTAGGACCATTGGTTCAAACGTCCAATTTGCAACATCGTTCTTGACCAAAATAGACTTAGGGCAATTGGTTCAAATGTCTAATTTGCCACACCGTTGAACGAAAGGCCAAAAAATGCACAACTATAGCCTACCAACCTACATGATCTAGAGTTCGCATGATAGCTAGCAGAGATTGAAGCCATGGTTCAACGTATGCACGATATGCCTGATATGCCTGCACCAATCAAAAAGAGTGTAGCTAGTTGTTTCGCTGAATCTCTATTTGTTGACGAAATTGCCCTGATAGAAATGCCCAAAAAGTTTAGCTTCCCTAACATGAAGGTTTATGATGGAACAATTGATTCAGACGATCATATAGCTCAATACAGACAGAGAATATTTACCGCTGTTATACCAAGAGACATTCGCAAGGCCTATATGTGTAAGGGGTTCAACTCTAGTCTCGTGGGGTGTGCCCTATAGTAGTATACAAACCTTCCTAATAATTCTATATCATCATTCGCACAACTAACTAATACTTTTGCTGAACAGTTTGCAACCAGCAGAAAACTTGAAAAGCAATGCGACCATCTCATCATATAATGTAGTGTAGATGAGGAGTAAATCTCTTCGTGAATTTGTCAGACAGTTCAACCAAGAGAAAGTTTCATTCCTAGCTACAACCAACAAACTACTATTTCTGCTTTTCGAAAGGGGCTCCTCCAAGATATTGATATGTACAAGAAATTGACCAAGCATCCTTGCTTTACAATGGAAAATGTCTTGGCTAAAGCTTGGGCCCAGATTAAATGAGAAGATGATGATGCCAACTTCAATTTCACAATATGCCAACCCCCCAGAGAATAGCCGCAATGACAAAATAGGGTGGAAAAACTCCCTGCAAGTACTTATTCTCCTTTAGACAAAAGGGATGCCAAGCGTAGAGAACTACCTAGGCCATTTGATCACCCTTCTATAAGGACAAAAGCTACAATCCCTAAATACAACCTCTGTATCGGTCCAGGAGAATTGAATGTTGTGCTAAAGAGGATGGATAATACAGTAAATTGGCCCAAAAAGATGCGAAGGACTAGTGACCAATGTGATAAAAGTAAGTGGTGAGTTTCATGGAGACCATGGTCACCGGACAAATGGTTGCGTTGAACTAAGGATGGAAGTGGCAAAGCTATTGAAACAGGGACGTTTTACAGGCTTGCAGACCTTCTGACCAAAAAAGAAAAAGGGAACGTCGTCAGACGACAACAATAACAACCACATGGCAAGCAAGGCTCCGTTCCAATGGTCCCGTCGACACATGATAGAACTATTAACTTCATCATCGACGGGTTATAAGTTAGTGGGCCAACAAGGGTAATAGCAGAAAGACGTGCATCGAGCAACTCATCCATGCCAGAATCTAAGACAAGTAAGTGACCTAGACTCACCACAGATCATCAGCTTTACAACCTTTGGGCTACGCAGCTACTCAATCTACTCCACGATACTTTGGTCATATCTTTAAACATTGCCAACTTCGCGATCAAGTGCATCTTGATAGGCAATGGCAGCAGTGCAAACATACTTTTCTTAGAAACCATTAAGGCCATGGAAATTTCAGAAGAAAACATTACACGCCGGATGACAGTTTTGATGAGTTTCAGTGGTGAACAAAAGAACACTTTACGTGAAATTGTGCTACATGTTTATGCAGAAGGAGTTAACCTCCACACCCGATTCCTCTCAGCATATAATGTTATCTTGGGAAGGTCCAGGATCTATTAAATGAAGGCTATACCATCGATATTTTAACAAGTACTCTCTTCTCTTAACAAATGGAGAATAAGGAAGATTTTTCACTACCCAAGGGATTCAAGAAATTGCTATCAGAATTTACTCCACTTTGGCCAATGTCATTTATAGAAATTTCAGAAATCCTAGCCTGCCATCCTAGACCATCCAGATATTAAAGAGCTAGACAAAATGCAAATCTACCCTGAAATTCCTCAGCATAAAACTCGAGTTGGGGCAAGGCTAGAACCAGAATTCAGGCAACACCTCATCAAGTTTCTCGTAGAACACCATGACTGCTTCGCTTGGTCTCACACGGACATGATCACTGTTGACTCAGAGATAATGACACACAAATTAAATGTTGACCTCCAATAAATTTTGACAAACAAAAATGAAGATGATTTGTGCCTGAAGGAAATCATATAATTAATGAAAAAGTGCAAAAACTTATAGAAGCTAGCTCTATACGAGAATTCTATTACCTAGACTGGCTCACTAATGTCATCGTAGTGAAAAAAAGAATTGTAAATGGAGAGCCTACATAGACTTCACATATTTAAACAAAGACTATCCGAAGGATAGCTTTCATCTGCCATATAGGAACATGATGATCGACGCGACAGCTAGCTATGAGCTTCTAAGCTTCATGGAAGCCTTTTCTGGTTACAACCAAATTTTGATACATCAAGCTGACCAAGAGATAATCATTTTCATCATGGAGCGAAACATATTCTGCTACAAAGTTATGTCGTTCGGACTCAAGAACACTGGAGCAACATATCAATGACTGGTGAACCACATGTTCGCTCATCAGCTGGGAAATTTATGTAATTCTACATCGACGACATGCTGGTAATGTCCTTGATTATAGAGTAACATATAGACCACTTTAGGCAATCCTTTGAAGTTCTGAAGAGGTACAATATCAAACTTAATCCATCTAAGTGTTCGTTAAGGAAAACAAAACTTTCAAATGGACTTCGACGTGCAAAGAAGCACTTCAGCAACGCAAACAATATTTAACTTCACCTCCACTCTTCTCAAAACCAAGGGATGCGGCATAACTTTACATGTACTTGATGATATTGGAGATGACTATCAGTGTAGTCTTTGTTTGTGAGGAAAGAAAGCAATTTCCCTTATACCATGTCAGCAAAATCCGCTACAACCAACTGGAGAAATTAGCTTTGTCACCCATCAGTGCAGCTCGAAAGCTAAATCTTTACTTTCAGAGTCATGCAATAGTTATCGTAACCTCCTTCCTATTAAAGCAGATATTTCACAAACCTGAGTTATCCGAACGACTAACCAAATTGGCCATCGAATTGAGTAAAGATGATATTTCTTTCGCACACTATACCACCATAAAATCTTAGGTACTTGCAGATTTCATCGTCAATTTCACTCCTAACTCTCAAGTCTAACCTAAAAGGAACTTCTTTACTTGACGGACGGACCGATGATAGGAAAATAGATGATCCGAGTGGATGGGTCAAGCAACTTCAATGGTACATGCCTCTGCATTGTCTTAACATCATCAGAAGGGGATCAAATAGAACAAATGGTCAGGTGTGAATTTAAGGCAACTAACAATGAGGCAGAATACGAAGCACTCATTGTTGGATTAATCTTAGCAAAGGAATTAGGAACCACTTGAATAAATGTCCACAGTAACTCTCAACTCATTGTAAACCAAATCTAATACACCTTCCCAGACTAAGACACAAAGATGGCATCTTACCTAGAATTAGTCGAACAACTCTACATCAACTTTGATGAGTTCCAAATCACTCAAGTTCCATAGAACGAAAACATCTAAGCGGATGCATGAGCCAGCTTTGGAACAACTATGGACATAAAACAATACAAGGTCATCCCGATGGCTACTTGCAATGGCTAGCAGTTCGAAAACTAGCTGAAAACAAAAGTTTCTAATCAACGGAAGAGCAATCTTAGATGACACCGATTATTAGATACCTCTAAAATGACGAGTTGCAATCGGACAAGAATGAAGCTCAATGAACAGAGCCTAAGGTTGCCGGATTCTACAATATAGGAGGTAAGTTGTATAAGAGATCTTTCTCTAGACCTACCACCGATGCATTGGCAACGTGAGGTCGAATATGTCCTAGCTGAGCTTAAAGAAGGGGAATGTGGCAATCAAACAAAAGTTGGAAGCTGCGCACCATGTACTTACCGTCTTGATGTGAACCCACGTAGCAAGAATATCTACGAAACACACAAAAGATTGATTCGAACCCAAAAAAGCCAAGAAATCGACGTTTAGAGTTTGACCCAAAAATATTGAATCAAAAAACCAACACAATTGCCTCAAGAATCTCACCCAGATTGTTTGAACGCCACAAGAAAATAATTCCTGATAAATGCGAAATTTAGTTCAATAGAAAACAAAGAATTGAAAGCAAAATTGCTCACAAAATAATTATCTCTATTGAATGAATGAAAAAGTTCCTTAGAAAGTAAAATAATGAGTCGTATTTATAAGAAACCCATAAAATTTTAGTCTACAGGAATTTAAAGTCTAAATAATACAAAAGTTACCAAAAAATAGAGTTTTAACATAAATAAAAGATTTCGCGAATTTGGAAAAATTTCGCGACCAAATGAACTGTGCGGCCACATAATGTATTTCTATGCTGTCGTATAGACCATGAAAATTCCTACCAGTTAACCTCAATAAATAGGCATGTGACTGCATGCCTCTAGCAACTATGTGGTCGCATAGTTGACATTTCCCTTGTCCCCGGCATTCGCTTGAACCACGTTGATCCATCATGATTCGTCTTCCGAGCTTAATATGAAACTTGCTCCTTCACTTGCCAAGATCAATGTTTCGTTCACCTTGGCTTGAGTAAGCAATCCCATCACTTCTTTGACAGTCTTCGCTCGCGACCTAGTCATAGGCCCTTCTTCAATGATCAACGGATCCTTGGTCAGACTTGTATTTATTGCCTTCGTTCCATGGATCACATCATCCCCTCCTTCAAAATGACTTGACCTCGAATATGTACCTGCATCAAAGAGAGAAAGATCAGACACATTGAAAGTAGCTGAAACATTATACTCACCAGGAAGATTTAATTTGTATGCATTATTGTTAATCCTTTCAAGGATTTGGAATGGACCATCTCCCCATGGCTGCAACTTGTATTTTTTTGTTCTAGAAAGCGTTCATTTCTCAAGTGTACCCAAACCCAATCTCCAGGTTCAAATGCAACGCTCTTCCAACCTTTGTTTGCTTGCGAAGCGTAGTACTTATCTTTCTTTTCAATTTGTATTCTTACCTTATTATGAAGGGATTTCACCAATTTGACCTTCTTTCTTACAGCTAAACTGTCTCGTTCATTAACACGTAAATAAATTAAATCCAAGGTGTTAGTGGATTAAAACTATATGCAATTTCAAAAGGTAAACAAGAAGTACTAGAATGCGTGACCATATTATATGCAAATTCAATGAATGGTAAGTACTCTTCCCAACTCTTCAAATTCTTATAAACTATAGTGCATAACAATTGTATTATAGTCCTATTGACTATCTCATTTTGTCTATCGGTTTGTGGGCGACAAGTTGTAGAAAACAATAACTTTGTGCCTAACTTATTCCACAAAACCCTCCAAAAATGACTAAGGAATTTAACATCCTTATCCGATACAATGCTCCTAGGAATCCCATGTAAACGCACTACTTCCTTAAATAATATATCTGTAATATTTGTACCATCACAAGTTTTATGACATTGAATGAAAAGTGTCATTTTACTAAATCTATCTACCACCACAAATATGAAATCTCTTCATTTCTCAGTCTTAGATAAACCCAATACAAAGTCCATAGATTTGTCAACCCAATGTTCACTAGGAAGAAGTAGAGGTATATACAATCATTGAGATAAAACCTTAGACTTATCTCTTTTGTAAGTGATGCATCTACTACAAACCTGATCAACATCAATTTTCATTTTAGGTCAATAAAAATGTTCACCTAACATCTCTAAGGTC